TGACTGAGACGGCTGGACGAGGGATCGAACCAGCGAACTTCTGGTTCCAGGACGACTCCCCTAACCACTCCGCCACAGCATCTTCATTCTCCTCTGATTCTGGGTCAGACTCTGGTTCTGGGTCAGACTCTGGTTCTGGTCAGACTCTGGTTCTGGGTCAGACTCTGGTTCTAGTCAGACTCTGGTTCTGGGTCAGACTCTGGTTCTGGGTCAGACTCTGGCTCCAACATGCAAGGCTGGATGGACAAGACTTCTGTTTCTGACATCTTTAATTAATATGCAAGTAAAAGGTTTCTGCGTCGCCAGATAATATCTCTGCTATCAAACTACAAAATAACTAAACCGGGGGGCATCATGGGCAATGATTATTGGGACTGAGGGGGCATCTCATTTGCAGTTAAAGAGACAGCACCAAAACAAGTTGCTCCCAGAAGAGGGGTGAAAGAGGGGTCCTGTGAAGTTAATATTCAGAATATTCAGGATACGTACAACTGATTAAAATTTGAAGTTAATCCAGTCCAAGATGGCTGCCACAGCTAACATATTTTAAACAACACCAGTTTTGGTAAGGAAGCAGTTGAACATCATCTGAGATTCATCCWCAACACACACTCCAAGTTGCTGATACAGCTCATGAAATTCTGAAAGTTTGATCAAAATGTCAGTAACTGTTATTTCTCATGAGGTGAATTTCATTTAAAACTTGGCACAAAAGACAGTGGGTGATATGCATTCCTTCAGGGAGTAAAAGTTTTTCCTGATTTTAAAGATGTATTTTACTCCCATCATTGCAGCTGAACCACATGTTTAGCTGTGATGTGTGATTATATCAGCATGTAGGGGTTGAAGTTTTAGTTTGTGCTGACTGTGCAGCAATAAAAACACACTGCTGCTGATCATAATGTTGCTGCACTTTTCTTTAAAAGTCTAAATAAGTGAGCRCGTTGCTGGCTAAACCCTTTAAAATAATTCAATGTAAAGCTTCATCAGCTGGAATGAGTAGTTTCCAGTCATTAAGCAGAAACTGCACCCTGACTGCTCTGAACCCAGCTCCTATRGAGCTCATTTCCAAAGCAGTAAAACGGCTATTCAGGGATGGGTCTCACAAACTTACATCAAAGTGGTGATGCTGTTTGGCTTAACCTTGGAATCCTGAAGCAACTTTCATCAGAACATTTTGATTTTCAGTTTTGATTTGGCCTCTCATATTTCACCAACATCTGAAAACACAATTCAATTCAATTCAATTCAGTTTATTTATATAGCACCAAGTCACAACATACGTTGTCTCAGGGCACTGTACATAAAAAAATAACAATCTAAAGAAGAAACCAGCAGATTGTGTTGAATCACTTCATCACAGTCTCCCAGCCTGAGCAAATGGTGGAGAGGAAAAACTCCCTGCTAATCAGGAAGAAACCTCCAGCAGAACCAGGCTCAGGACAGGCGGCCATCTGCCTCGACCAGCTGGGTTGGAGGACAGGAAAGAGACACAGGTAAACACAGAAGAACTGGTCCAGGACTGGTCCAGGTGCACCTTCTTCTGGAAGAGACAAAGAAAAAACATAACAGAAATAATTACAAT